GGAATGCAGATTTAACGTGTTGTGTGTGCAAGATCGCCTGCCGGAATTCGTGGCCTATTGTCATCGTTCGTTTCTATTCGCGTTTCATGGAACGGTTAGACGTATTCATCGATCGCTAGCCGAGCGCGAGGGCGTAAATCGATTGTCCGTCGCGTCGTCGTGTCGCTTGACCACAAAACTTTTGAATTCACACCACGCGATGACGAGAAAAAAATACAATCTTCCGCGTTATTGGCGAAGGTGAAACAGATCTGAAGTACTGAGGAACTTATTGCCTAGAAAACGAAATACGTTTCGGTTCCAACTAGTAATTCCACATAATATCACGTATATCCTAAAAACACATTGTTAAACCGAACACCAAACAGCTTGTAGACCCCAACTGCGGCACGTTCTAACTACACTACCTAACTCCATAACTCCAAGATCCTGGTCCGCGATACCGTAACTAAACGTAAAACCAGATGCGTACCATCGGAGAAATTTATTAAAGCTCGAATTCAACCCAGCTATGGGAAAGCGTAATCCAGTAACAGTATTTTCCCCGATGAGAATAACGTTCGCTAAACACCACCGGGGAACGTTAGCTCGATAGGTATCAAGTGGAAAATCGAACGGTGCCATGAACATTATACGGGTTTATAGCCAAGAATATTCTCATGTGAATAAAGGACTGAAGGGACGTTTTTCATTTACATTAATTATCAATTGTTAAAAAGTGTCTACCTCCAAGCCTACCCCTAGCTATGACGCCGTTGTCCCACCGTGCCATCGGCCGACGTGCATTGTCCGCGTGATTAATTGTGCGTGAACGTAACAAAAGCCTATTCAACAACGGTGTACGGTTTGCTAACATAAGCGGACACGCACCGCACGATAGATGACAGCGTGTTTTGCGTGCAAACTGGACACGAGGTGCTTTACCGAAGAAATTGGAGCAGAAATTGGTGATGTTGATGGAATTAGGAGAGCACAAATTTAAACGTTCGTAATTATAATAGTGCAAATATAACCGGGAATTTGTTGCGTGATACAGCATTATGCATTATTGCTTCGTGTAAATTTAACGAATAGCATTTAATAACACGCAGTAATTATGTTGACATAGTACCTGTTATCAATGTAGAACATTGCCCAATATCTATCCTAATGTGATATATGACAGCAATATCTAGTAGATACATTGCGCTGACGATTCCTGCGCACACACGTGGCACGTTTGCAAACGTTTCCGCATACTAAATTTTAGATCCCTGGTTCGACATAGAATAGATAAAATGAAATTTCACATATCACGATACTAAGCTAGATTAAATAAAACTTAGCTATGTCAATGAACATGATTTTCGTCCACAATAATTTTTATTTCATTTCAGGAATATTAAAAGCTATTTTCCTGAAACCCTTCAACGACGCACACGTGTATGCTATGTCAGTAGTGTAATATCGATCTAACAATAAGTGTAGATGTACGTTATAACATAAGCGTGACTTATTGGTACATCTAGAATAGATTAGTAATGCTAATTTCATGAATAGCAACAGCGAAGCAATACAGTACCAATACCAATACATACATGTATATATACATACTATGATAGCATTATCCTGTTACACCATCTACAACACGGTACACTAATGACATAAGAAAAAAATAGCAAACTTACAATAGCACACACAATATCAACTTCATTACGCAAATTACGCAATATCATCATTCGCGGAACTCACAAAATGTTATGCTGAATTTTCGTTATCTTAATAAAAGGAAACCCAATGGCAACTGTGGATATAAGAAAACGACGCTAAGAAACAAATTATTTTCGAGTATCAACTCAAAGAAATAATATTAAATCTAATCTCGCTACGCAATTATATTTTTCAACGAGGTAAACATCCTGAAGACGTGTTCCACACGAACAGCACCCAGTTAGAATGCGTGTTCAGAAAGGCCAGAAAAAGCAATGAGTCAACTGATTAATTAATCAATTTCGTTGCGTCGCGTTTGCAGAAAATAGGCGGATAATCCTGAAGACGGAAAAATTCGCAACCACTTCCGCGTTATCGGTTACTTATGTAAATTCACCCGTCAAACATACACATGCATTTGGAACAAGGTTAGCGTTCTCTCGTACTCGCGTAAAATAGCGAACTCTCGTGAAATCCAAATAAAAACGTGAACTACGCGACCGGCGCAATAACGTCATGAAATTTCTTATTAGACAATTGTGTTGACACAAAGATAAAAATATTGTATACCTATGTACGCTATTTCGCCGTCGCGTCGCCTACTACTAGCAATTAAATGACAGGATAAGTATAATACGTATACATACATATGCGCATTTACAAGATAGTTGTTACTTTAAAATATTACCGAAAATTATATTCCTATGATTTTTTCTGAGTAACGAACATTTTAGCCAACAGATCGGTTATTAATCATATCGAGTCACAAGTTATATTCTTGGATTCACGGAGTTAGAATCCATCATATAATAAACGTATAAAACTTTGTCTTTAACCACATTCCACGAGACGTTATCGTACTCGTGGCGGACGGTAATCCATTCAGGGTCAAAGCGAGTCGTGCAAACGTTTACGGATGCGTTCGCGCATTTGTCGTTTTGTGCGGTTAACTGAGAGAAGATCAATGGAAAACAGCTCGAATCGGCGACGCTAATTCGCGGAGTAAGGGTCAGACCGGTCTGGAATCGGAAAAGCGAGCGCGATCGTAACTCCGTGCAACCGTGTGACAGCCAACATTAATCGCTGCCACGTGCTACGTATTTGTCTTCGGCAGCTCGAGAACCCTTCGTTCAGACACAGGTACAAAGTGTAACAACAACCGTCACTATAGTATTTTACTGTTTCAGCGAAATCTTAACGGTTCGTTTGATTAGTTTAGTAAATCAAATCGCTATTGTGAACAAATTACGCATCCGTCATTTTTCATCTAGCTGTATCGTACATATTCATAGTTAGATCGTTAGAACGATTTAACAACGAAGACCGAGGTAGTAAACATTTGATCACAACTTGAGCAACGGAAAATTTAGGTGGGTGTACCACGCGGGAACGATACATACGCAAAGAAGGTCTAACTGATAAACATATATTTTTACGTAAAAGATGATTCATATTAATACGAACAATAGGTATCACGAGAACGAGATGATTCCTAGCGACGTAGCGCCTACGAAAAGCATGATTGAAAGTAATAAAAAACCGACCATAAGTTTAAGTTGTTTACGATTATTTTTTGATGTTTTTTTTTTAACTTCAAAGACCAATTCAACCAGAACATACGTATATTCATGAAGATTGAAGTTAACTCATTAGCTACGACGAAGAACAGGCAAGTCATACAGGTAAATATGATTGAAAAAGTTATTATTAGAACTTGTGCACTACATCATAGCACGTTCCGTGCGCTTTTTGTATTTTTTTTTTATCACTTTACTACTACACTCGACTATTTTTTCATTAGAATGCTAACAAGTATTTACCATAAATTTACAATAAGCATTAATACCTACTTTCAATATTAAATGCTATCAGAAACTTGCGAAAGATTCATATATATTTTATACATAAACAGCTCGAGTGAGCAAACAGGAGAAGTAATAATGAATGTAAATTATGTGACAGATTGAATCTTAAATCGCAGGTACAACTGGTGAACTTTAGTGACAACAGTGTCGGAATCGTAAAATTAATAATAACGTACTGCATCGTCGCGTATTCTTTTTATCGGTAAAAACCGTCAAACTGTAAATATAACATTTAAACAAGGATAGCGCGATCATCAGAAAAGTAAGCGTCTTCAATTCATTGTTAATTCTGACACGTTTTTATTAACTTTCGCTGTTAATCGCTGTCAATAATCAATTACGAGATATTTACGAATGAAGAGGTATTTGACAATTGTCGCGTAACGATTGTCAGCGTGCAATTTTGACAGTTCAACCGATGACAGATTTCAGCCGATGTCGCGGAATCGGCGGGAATTATCGAAATGAACTGGACGGCCGGCATACTAGACTAATTTACAAAATAATTACGTTTACTCACCAAGTGAAGCACGGTGTTGACAACTTCCCGATTCGACACCTGTCCCACTTCGATCATCCCGATCAGCACAGCAAATTTCAGGCTGTCGTTCATCGCCATCGCCACCACCTCCTCCGGCCTCTTAATGTCACTGAACGGTGGACTTTTCATGTCCGCCATCGCGACTATGCTCTAACCTGGCAACACGTTTCCTCCGCGAGGAAAATCTACGATAGTTTACACAGAGAACCTCTTATGAACGCGAGCTTTTCACCGTCACATGATAGTACAACACAAATTGATCTGCCATGTTAGAAAGTAGACACTGTTATGAGGAGTCTGCCAGCACAGTAACGCGAAACACCCTAACTACGCGGTCACGGTACCAACACTACCTGTGCCCAGAAGTTCCCACAGTACCCCCACCTACGACACGGCGCGCGCATTGATGACACATGATGGGGGTAGCGGCGCGTATTACAAATATAAAATTGATTCAACATATCCACGTATTACAGGAGAAATTACTTACATCAAGAGATATTAAAACGATTCGCAATGCATTTAAATACTTTTTTAATCTACTTTTAATACAGTACACTACATATTCATCGTAATTAATTCTTTTATCTTTCGTATTATTATTCATGATTTTGTTGGCCATATTTACGTATTTATCAACAGTATTATTTATTTTTCCTGATAAATAAGATTTCTGTAAAAATATATTTGCACAGAACAGGATTCACTGACGGCTCTCCTTTACACAGCATATTATTATAAGACTTTGCCCACATATGACGTTACACAGGTGACTTCATTTTTGCCTCAAACTAGTTATCTGAAGCCGCGTCTACAAGTTTGTATATGGAAAAAATAAAAGGGGAACTTTGGACTCAGAATTTCACTCTCTTTCACGTCCTCAGAATGTCGTACATTCTGGAACACCCTGTACATGGTCTAAACTTATGACTGGTATGAGCCATGAGCAGGTATGAGTAATGCACGCGTCACTAGTAGTAAAAATGGCGTCGGTGGATGTAGAGCGTATCAAGGTAGGTGTCATTTTTTAAATTTTACACCCGTATCGCGTTACATTTAATGATTTTGCTTGTTCCATATAGTCATTCATACACTCTTCTGTATTTGTAAATATAAATTTATCGTTACGATAGTATATGCGTAATGTTTATAGCTTGAAGGGCGTGGAATCTATTCTGTCATAACAACAATACTCCTGATGTTGCGTTGAATTTATCGTACCATACACGGATAGTACTGTTAATTTCCGGCCGACTTATTATCACTGATGCATTATATGTATTTTCAGTTGGAATCTACCCTGCGTAACTTAAAATTGTCGGGTCACGTTGGATTCGATAGCCTCCCCGATCAATTAGTAAATAAATCCGTTCAGAATGGATTTATATTTAACATTCTTTGCATTGGTAAGAAAACATTTTTATTACGTGTTGATATGTAGGCATACTGAAGATTTCTTTCTATAATTAATTACTCGCATTTGTAATAGGTGAAACTGGGCTTGGGAAATCGACCCTCATGGATTCTCTTTTTAATACCAGCTTCGAATCTACTCCAAGTCCCCATAATCTTCCCTCTGTGAAACTCAAAGCCCATACTTATGAACTACAAGAGAGCAATGTTAGATTGAAGCTTACTATTGTTGACACAGTTGGCTATGGGGATCAAATTAACAAAGAAGATAGCTTTAAGGCTGTTGTCGATTATATAGATGCTCAATTTGAAGCTTATTTGCAAGAGGAGTTAAAGATCAAGAGATCTTTAGCTACATATCATGATACTCGCACTCACGTTTGCCTATATTTTATTTGCCCAACAGGACATGGGTAAATATTATAACAAGATATATTTGTTTGTGTAATATTTATCTGATCTTATTAACATTTAAATACTATCCTAGGTTAAAATCGATTGATCTAGTCTGTATGAAGAAGCTCGACACAAAAGTTAATATCATTCCTATTATTGCCAAAGCTGATACAATATCAAAAACAGAACTACAAAAATTCAAGGTATGT